ATATTATATAGGATAATATATATTGAAATAATATATTACAAATAAATGTACTTTAAAAAATTCTGTAATTAGACCCAAGTTATGCTAAATGACCAAACCTGGTTTACTGTCCATAGACAGCTATATTTTTATTGTTAATAACACTAATATTCAGATGTTATAGTAACTTAAACCCAGTAGCGTTTTAGTGTTCAAATACTGTTTTCCTTAGATCATCAGTCAAAGGCAGTCACTTTTCCCAGAGAAAGCCAGAATTAATAGGAAAGAAAGAAACACTGAGATTGTATTTACATTTCTCTTTTAAGAGTTGATGGTGTCTTTATCTAGTCTTTACCCAACCCCAACATCACTACAACCCTGCCAGCCTCAGGCAGCTGGAGACCATCTACTCTTGGTTAACCTGAAGAGCCTATTTGCTAACCTTGGCTTGTGCTTGTCTTAACACTGCGTCTAAACTTAAGTCTTCGTATTTGATCTGTTGCTTAGCTGCACACAGGCAGATTTAGCCAGGGACGAGGTCATCCTGAAGGCCAGCCAGTAAGGATACACACTAAATAGCTGCACGCACCTGAAGCTGAAATAGTGAAAACACACCAGCTACCATATCTCATATGCATCATGGTCTTGCTCATGAGACTGGACTGGAACCTTTTCAGCATGTATGTAACGTATTTTCGCTTTCTCCTTCTCCCAGAAAATCCCACACAAATCTTGCCGGTTTTATAATTTGCCACAATTATGGCTTGCACCATGTTTTCACAAAAAAAAACCAACCCAAAACAAAAACACCAAACAAATCTTCAGCTACAGCTGTCAGTGCAGCAACAGATACTGGTGCCAGGTTGAACTCACAGTGACTCTTATGGCTCATTTAAACATTTATTCTATCCACCAGCCATAATGATTTTATGGCACATGGATTCACAGTAATTGTTTTCAAATTCTCTTTGTCAAAGCAATATCCAGATAAATTTAAATATTGTTTAGCAAAGGAGTTTGGGGGAAATGCCAGGCACCCCAAAGTCGGGGTTCAGACCCTTCACACTTTGCACTCTCCCACTAGTGCCAGCAGCTGTCCTAACTCGGTGCTTGTGGTGAAACAACAGCAGTTTGAACCGCTGTGTTTTCTAATCCTGTTCCATGGTGCTTGGTGGCATCATACTATTTCTGTCTAGAAAATGCAGCTTTTCTCAGCTGTTGGATCAGGCATCAAGTTTTGAGCATCCCCGAATGGACAAGGCCAAACAATAAACATGCACAAGTCAGAAACAGGCAACTCAAACACTAAATCTTATATTATTTCAGCTCGTTTGAAATAAGACAACCACATTTCAGACTAATCCAGAAGAAAAGGCATCATGTAAAAAGGATTCTACAGTGGGAAGATTTTCCTTTCATGCTGCCTAACACAACACAGTATCTCTTGCTTCAGAGAAGCACCAACATGAAATAAACTGGATCAAGGCTGAGGATTATCAGGTTTTTAACAGAACTCTTCACAACGTAATGAGGTTTTCTTACTCCACCTCCTAGTCCCCTCCCCCATACTTTTTAAAGTACTATATGGTAAATATCACAAAGTAAAAAAGCTGCTTTTTTATTACTAGTAATAAGCACAGCAGCTTTTTCATAAATTCTAGTTTTTGCAAAACTGGGACTGTTCCTCCATGGCGTACGTTACATTCCAGAAGCTTGTCACACAACTGTAGCCAATCCTAACGATGTTTTCCCACTCCTTTTTGTCCTTTTATTTTATATGAGGTCATTCAGATTTCACAATTCTAAATCATGTTGGGAAAAAAGTTGGTGACTGCCCAGAAGCGAGGGGAGACAAGAGCCCTGTGCCTGGGGCTGGGAATGGTCGCATGCTCCATGATGATGTACTTCTTTATTGGGATCACCATTGTGCCATTCTACACTAAAAGGTAATATTTCTTATGAATACAAAGCAATTTGTTTTCCTCTCAGAAAATACAATTACTAAAGCAGTGCTAAAATGCATGCTAATACATTGGACAACATGTTCTTGAATTGCTTGTAAGAATTTAAGGCAGAAGAAGAGAAATTAAAAAGTGAACCAAGAAGTCAGGAGGCATTGCCAGGTAAGCGCAAGAAGGAGGGATAGAATGAGAACAGTTTAATAAAACTAAAAAAAATTCAGCTACAGAAGTCATGGTAAAATTGTTCAGTTGAGTATCTGTATCTTGCTTCCAGCTCAAGAATCATGAGAAACTGGCACCTTCAGCAGCTCAGTCCACTGCGGCAAGTGTTGCAGAACACAACTGCTGTGCAAGAAATTACTCTTACCCACGATTCTATTTCACTTTGCAAGTTTTGCTTCCACATACAGAATCAATTAGCAAAAACCAAAATAAGATGAAGAGTGCAGCTCCAGTTTCCATGCTTGAATCTTTTGATAGAGAAAGCATGTATATCACCTCATGCTAAGAGCACTTTAAAGCTCAAAAATGTTTGAAAAACATTATCTTTAAAACACAGTAATTCACATTTTCCAGCCTCCTGATTACATTACAGAAGACATTCGCATGTCAAAAGACGGGTTTCCTAAGAGCTGGAGTGAGACTAATTCTTTACTTTTTTGCAAAAGTGTACCACTAGAAGCAAAAGCTTGCTATGTTACCAGTCATAAAAGAGTGATTATTGAGAAAAAAAGGGTAAGTAACAGCAAAAAATGAGCTTTTACCAGTTAAAATCCTGCTATTTATTAATGCAGAAAAGGTCTGTGCAATAAAGAAGGGAAAGAACAAGGGAATTGATCTGAGTTCTCAGAATTATTGAGTGAAATTAGTCAAAATAATTCCAAGATATAAAGCGTATGCACTTCCAGATGTTTACTACCACATACTCAAATCCATAGCAGATTTTATTTCCCGAATAACACTTGAAGCTAATTACAGATGGGGTTAGAACCTAACCTCAAATCACCGAATGTGTAACAAATGACCACAGGAGCTTTCCTGCCTTGCTTCTCTGCCTTGCTTCCCCATGGCTGCACCCCGAGCAGGGCTGCCATCCATCTGCAGTGGGCAGAGCTCACCACACCAGAACTGAACCCCAGCCATCCTGGCCACTACTGACAGCCAGAACACACAGAGCCACCTTCATGACTCAGAACAGATGCCGCTAACACAGTTAAAAGTGTTACCTTTCATTTTGTCTTTGTAGTGTTTGGACAACAGAAACCTTGTGCAAAGTACTGAAAGCCAACATCAAGGACAAAGTTCTCTGCCCAGACGGCAAGGGCACAGATGATGAGGATATCTTTCCTTATCCCTGTCTACAGGTGTGGGTTAACCTGACAGCCTTGGGACAGGAGGTTATGCTGTATCAGACTGAAGATACACTGGAAAGAAATCCTAAGGTACTTTCAACACGAATGGAATAATCACTCTGCTGCTGTCTAACACCTCTGAGAAGGGGTGACTGTTTTTAAACCAAGCAGCAAAATAAGAGTAGGAGTTGTTCATCTTTTACAACGTCTGTGTGTAGACCAAGGCATTTTTAAAACACTCCAGAAATTACACAGTTTGGGATTTTGTTTTAAACACTACATAAAACATTAAGTTAATACTTGCTAAGCAATCACATCAACTAAACAGGAGCATTTAATATTTATGAGCATGTAGAAACACGCAAGTATCCAAGTTGAAGACCAAGGGCAAAAAACAGGTAACATAATCTCAGTTTTACTTCCATTTTAGATGTGAAATATGAAGCAGGGAACAAAGGTGAAATGAGGGTGCTGTTGGGAACATGATGCACATTTTGGACAAAGGAGAAACTAATCAGTAGTTTTGAAAGATGTCTTTGGTTTTGTCTGCAGCTGTTTCTGGCCCGTATGACAGCAGAAACCCAGACTCATGGAGAAGGCAGTGGGGCTGTAGAAAGCACCTATATAACACAGATGCTGGGTACTGCAGTAGAGGTCCCTTGGTCAGCAGTTTTAGGGATCTCTTCCCCAGAGGAAGCGTGCAGACCATTGGCTTTAGAGGTATGATTAGGGAAGGAGGAAGTAGAATGTTACCCTTCTGCTCCTATCAGTGTTTCTTCTCAGGAATCAGTGAAGAACTCAGTATTTTTAGGCTTGGTCCCCACAACTAGAAGTGTTCCTACAGGTACACTGTCTCAAGGAAGGTCAGGTTCAGTTCGGTTCGGTTCCAAAACCAAGAGTATTTTAAGGCCTTATTCCAGATCAACACTCCCTTAGGGGACACAAAGTAAAATTCAGATCTTGGATGCCCAAGACTGCAGCACTTTCAGAATCCAAACCAAGCATGCTCAGACTACAAGTGCTCGTATTCCTAAAGAAATCATAAAATGATTCACAAGTCCAAATCTGATAGCATAAACCACTTAAGCTGATGAGGACTTTGCTAGCTAATGCTTGTCTCAGGGAAAGCTACATACAGTGAAGCAGCCAGGCAGAAATTATCCACTGTGGATTGAAACAAGACTCATGTTCACTGCTAGAGGAGGCAATTAGCTGATTTCCTGCCTACTGTTTGCATTACTGCAAGTACAAGCCTTCAGGTCAGGAGCCATTCCCTTTCTGTCTTGGCCGGTTTCCAGCTTTAGACACCTTAGCATCATTATCTACGTAAAATAATATGGCGGAAAAGAACCTGTTATGAACAACAGTGACAAGAATGAGTGTTTTAAAGTCTAATAGTATTTCCACTGAAGACTAAGTAACAGCATTACCATGACAGGTCAAAAGAGTTCTGTGTTACAAGGACAAGTAGAAAGCCCGCAACTGCTCTGCTGTTCTCTTATGTTTCTACTAGTTACACACAGAGGTGAAGAGCTTGTTTTTTCTGCACACTGGCAAGCCAGTTTGCACGTCTGCATAACTAACATATTTCTGCTATGGTGGTGCCTTTCTCCTCTGCTGGAATCCAAGCTTGGCACTGTAATAATAAAGTGACAGTCTCAAAGGCTATAGTTTTATTTCTAGCTCATATGTATTGCTAGTTTCTAACAACATGACTCCAATCTGTAAATCTGCAGACTGGGGGGCATAGACACACTGACAGAAGCAGGAAAGCATGGCAAATGGGTTATTGACATGAGGAAACCAAGACAATGCTAGCCAACCCAGAGATGTTTTTGTCAGTACTAGCATGTTTGTTGCACTCAATCTGATTTAACTCCAAGCTTTGTACTAGAGTATCTATTATAATGAATCACCTTGATTTCTTATTTCAGTGCTCGTATGTCCCAGGCAAGTCAGAGAACTCTAAAGAAGTTAAAGCACGAATAGAAAAAATTGCAAGCAATTTCAAGAAGCACCAGACTTTCCCGTGCTACTATGACCCAGGAGGAACTCAGCCCAATGTCATTCTAAGCAGACTTTATCCCCCCAAAGGCCTCCTCTTTGCTTTTCTTTGGCCTACACTCATGTTTACAGGTGGATGTCTGATTATTGTGCTGGTAAAAATTAGTCAGTATGTTTCTGTTCTTTCTGCTTGGCAGTAGAAAATAAACACCTAGCATAAATGGATGCATGATATTAAAGAGCCTTTGTTCTGCCTGTCTAGTAGCGTTTCGTAACTTTCAGCATATAAGGGTTCAATCCAAATGCAGGTATTATGGAAAACTGGATGACACCCACTGTGGATGGCAATCGATTACATGAAGTCAAAAGAAAAAACCGATTCCCAGGAATGGCTGAAAACACCTCATAAGAACGCACAGACTGAGTTACTACCTCTTATTGCCTTGGGCTTTCTGAGGTACAGCTGCTTTACAGAGCTACAGTTCAAGTTTAATACTAAGCATTGTTCCACATTTTAGACAGGGTCTTAATTTTGAGACTAGATCCATACACATCATTAGTGGCACACACACCTTTTATGTACTTCATTAATGATACAGTGTGTATTCATGGCACACTTCTATCTGTCAAGAAAAGAAGGGATTTTATGGTCCAAAGTGATATTTGTTATTATCGATCTCTCTGCTTTCATGAAAGAAGAGAGTGAAAACCACACAAAACCAAGATATACACACACAGACATTACAAAGTTTGCACTCTGAACATCCAAACCCAGTTGTATGTAATGAAATATATGCAAAAAGTATAAGGTACAGTAAGGAAGGTTACCTTAGTTTTTGTATTTAACTCAAATCTTAGCCTTATTTTACTTTTAAAAAAAGTGTACCACTCAGAAAGGCCACCTGCTTGCCATTTAAATACATCATAAACCTGTCAAGTAAGGGAAGTTAAAATATAAAGAATATTATTATGTAGTAGAAAACATCCATGATGCCTTACTAAATACAGTAATCTAATCTAACCTAACCACAGAAGTTTGCATGCTTAGCGCATAGGTATTTCACAATAGAGACATGTTTATTTTGAGCAGCAAGACTCTTAGGAATGCTCTGAGGCACATATAGACACATGTTCTCTGAAAATAACCCTGTTTTTCTCAGCCAATTTTCAAATTGATACAGGAGGAACACAGGATGCTTCCTGCATGCTGTATGTGACTGGCACTCGGGACACAGCTAACAGCAAGCAGCTGAAGCTGTTCTAACAGTGTGCTCAATTACTCTTGAGCTTTTGTAAATGTTTTTCTCTTCTTTTTCCATCTGCAGAAGTTGTAATTCAGATGGGGGTGAAGTTTTAACAACTTTATACTTCTTACAGCAGCACGCAAGGAACATGCAGAGGCTTTAGGGGGTTTTGCTCCCTTTTTTACATCAAGTCTACAATAAACTCAATATATAAAATGCTATTTTTCTTACATCCAGCAAAACACTTCCTACAAGAAGTGCTTCAGTACAAGCAGTGACCACTGCAGTGACAGATATAGACAACTCATTTCTCAAGGCAGGGTAGATGACCAAGGTATGTATCACAGCATTAAAATTCCTGCCGGGGAAAGAAGTGGCAGTACAAGCAGATGGTGATGGAATTCACAGTTGAAATCTGTTTGACTACACGTCGCTTTCACTAGAATTGATGCTTAGACTATAGTAATAGTGCTTGTGTTAACTGGAACATGCAAGGAACATAGGAAAAATGAGAACAGATTTTAGATCCTGATGAATACTTCAGTTGTGCAAGCCCTTTATGTGTATATAAGAAAAACATTGTTTTACTGAAACTACTAAAAGGGCACAGACTCTCAGGAGTACTTTTGCATCTTGATGCCAAATAAGGCTTGGATGTGGTGATTCTCCTATTGGAAACTCTAAGACAACTAAAGCTCCAGCACTATTCTTGAGGGAACTAGGATTTCTCCTAGGAAAAAAACAAGCCAAACTCCACAGCTGCAAAAGGTTATAAAATAGAGCCTATCCCATGAATGGGAAGCTATTTGTGTGGATGAGGCAGATTCAGCTTTCAGCAGTTTTTTGTAAGACCACCTTTCTCCAACTTAGATGGAGTCACAACAATGGCAACTGAAGAGGAACCTATGGGACAGTCATTTGCTAAATAGCCACCTGTGAGTCACTAGCATGTTCTTCATGTACATAAACAAAAGCAGGTACCATCTGGTACTGGTACCTCTGACAACTTTGATTTCATTATCCTGCTAACTGGTGCTATTTTTATTACTTGATCCTCAAATCAGAAAATCAGGGCAGTTTACATAGAGAAGACTCTGTTCCCCAAAGATTCCTCACTCATTGCATAAACTCATTACACTTGACAACAAAATACCTTTCAACAGACTAGCAGGTATTTTATCCTTAGTTTTGGAGGGGTTGGTGTGGAAGTTTCTTTGCTTGTTTTGGTTCTTTTTAATTATTATTATTTTTTTAAATAAAGAAATGAGAAAAATGCTTAACAAAACCAAGTTGGGGTCTCTAGACTGTTAACTAATCAGAAGCCATTTAAAACAACTCAGATATACCTCTGGCAAGTTCCATACTAGAAAAAAGTCCCCAGCATTTAGGGTTGACTGTATGACTTGAAATGTGCAAGCTGGCTTGAGGTTAGAAAATATTGTAAAACAAGGAAAATAGTTCTAAATATTAATTGAAGGCAGTTATCCTTTATGAGAGAAATGGAGCTGTTTAGCCTGGACAAAAGATGGCTCTGCAAAGGCCTTAGAGCAGCTCCAGTGCCTAAAGGGGCTACAAGAAACCTGGAGAAGGGCTTTGGACAAGGGCCTGTAGGGACAGGCCAAAGGGAACGGATTTAA